ACCCACACCGGCTACTGGAGGAAAGGGTTCGGTGTTCCTCCTTGTGCCTTGTCTACGTATATGAATGCAAGCTCTGTTTTATGGTCATTGAAGAATTCGTTATAATCCGGCTCGAAGGACCAAAAATATGTTTAAAGAGGTGATTTCCAAATGGAAGACTAAAAAGTAACACTTCTTAAATTCAGATGATGGATTAAAAGAAATACAAGTGTGCCTAAAACAATCTTTTTTAAATATAGCTTTGTTTCTCCACGTGTTGATAGAAATAAAAGCTGTGTTTGATGATTATTAAAAATCATTGTAAACATATCATGCTAGTAGGACATTTACTGTACAGTATTAGTATTAGACGTCTCAGTGCCCTATCGGCTAACCCTGAGCTGTGTCCAGTTGGAGGCGATCGTTCATGCTTTGTTTCCGGTCATCGGATCAGGCTGCATGAAGACTTTGCTGTGGCTCTGTAACAAATACCCATGTTCAGTGAACAAGAACTGTCAAATGCAATATCTCTACGATGCAGAGCCTAAGGTCCCGATGGAATCCCAAGAGAATAACTAACGCAGATGGTCGGAACTGTAGAGGTCTTCTACTTCTGCTGAATTTATACAACCACTGTTTGTTGGAAGGCTAGTTTCCTCTGTGAAGGTCCAATGTCTTGCCTTGTGCTAATACCCAAGTGCAAAAGAGCTCCCAGCCCCAGTCTTCATACAGACCTCTATGCATGCTAGACATAGCAGAAAATCTTTATGAGTATTGCCTAAAGCCAGGATTTGCTCAGGCACTAGAAGCAGCAGATGTGCTCACCGCACAGTGTCGGAGCCAGCCTTCCTCGTAGTTGTAGGGGTGATTCCCATCGATCTTCTTGCTTTTGAACAAAAGCGGATCTTTTGGGAACGGTTCTTTTGATTCGTACCTAAGTCCGAGAAGTCCGCATTATGGAAGGCTGGAGATGTCGCTGGTAGGAGGATGTACGAGGAAGCTGGACTGTGAGACTCATTGGAGAACTCCGTAGGTGGGTTGAGCGAGAGCATGGAGAGGTAGTCTTTTATATCACCCAACCTATCTCCAGTCACGGCTTTTTCGGTGCTTACTTTCACAATTTTCATATAAGTCAGCGAGTCCTGAATGCCAATATGGTGACTCCAAATATGATAACGTACTGCATACCTTTTTCCATTGCGCGAGTGGGCCAGTAGTCAGAAGAAACCTTGAAACGGTTGTTGGACCAACTTATCGGACACACTCGTCCATCTGATGTTGTCCAGTCCCAAATCGTAGAAAGCTGTTTCTGCATTCTCCAGGGGAGTGCTAAAAACTGAGAGAACAGCTGTAACTAAACATAAGTTCCAGTGCAACTAAACATGGGGGAACATCGTGACTGAAATACTATCTCTGTCGTTCGAAGGCATCCTCTTGATGTATTGCAAACAGCATTTCCGAGAGGGATTCCATTAACTGACCAATAGGTTTTTAGTAGGTAAGACCAGTGTTCCTCAAGTAGGCTTGACTTGAAACTGTCTCATCTTCTTACTATAATGTTCTTAACAATGCTTCGTTTGTTGACCATAACGGTGTTGGACAGAATAAAACTACACGAAAATGTGGTGTAAAATCTGTAGCAGGTCTGTTGTCATCTTGAACCGAAGCGAGTGCTAAGATCTGTTATGAACCAGATCTGTTATGTGGTAGGTGAAATATAAACATAGAAATTGATTTTAGTTTGATTGTCATTAACAATCGCGAGTGCGAAGGACATTAAAAAGAATGAATGTCTCAACACTCAACGATAAACCAAAAACCAATACTGCCAACATCTAGATGTTTAGTTAAAAGTGTAAAGGTTATGAAAATAAAAACAAAAAACAATTCAAATTACGTAACTTGTTTAATATCAAATCAGTTTCCAATTAATAACCTAAACCAGTCTACACTTAAAAGAAAGAAGTTTTGTTTTAAGGTAAAACATCCCTCTCAAATTTCAACCATAATGTTGATTTGATTAGGTAGCCTACTTGACCAACACAAACACGAGTCAAGTGACGAGATCCAATACACTTAATTGGTATATTAAGGAACACAAATCCTGAGACTCACGAAACGCGTTTCACCAATCCCAACGTTTGCTCTACCAGGTCAGCCCGAGGATAAAATATCTCACCTACCCAACGAGATCCGACAAGAGGTTTTCCAGTCGCATTTGTATATCCTGAGGGTAATGACAGAATATTTATATCCTGGCAGTTCCCCTAACGAGACATGCTAGAACGACAGCCACTATCAACTAGCGAGCCTGTCAGCTGTTCATTACCTTCTAGCGGGAAGAATTAATCACGGCGTGACAGCTGTCATAAATAACCAGTGTTGCCACACTGCCAGCAGCAACAGCGCATATCACACTCTCAACGATGCAACACTGTTGAGAAGCGGATGGTGGTTCGTGCAGTTGTTTAGTTGACTTTTGAGGAACTAAATATTTGCCATTATGATGGGGTATTATGGGAGGATTGCAATTAAAAAATTATTAGATATACCATGGATTGATACCCACATGACAAATAACATTAAAAAAACGGGCCCCTGATGTTGACTGTTACTCACATACTTGCTTAACTTAAGGTATCAGTAACAGCAGTCTGTCAAATACTCTCTCCCATTAGCTTGCCAACAACCCTTTATATTAGGCTAGGTGGGAGTGGGAGAAAGTATGGCATTTTAGGTAAAATCACAAAATTTGCGATAACTCGCCGTAATGTTTACAGCAATAGGAGAAGAAGAATAAAATACTATGCTTTAGTCAAAATCAGCTGAGCTTTTTTTGAAAATTTAGATTTTTTTGTTCTTTATGGTTTTTAAATGGGATAATCACGTCAGTTTAGAGCCATAATTTTTACATTACCGTAATGGGTGTTGAACCATTTTCTTTAGAATTTAAAGGACTATAACATAATAAATTTAAATCAAAATCGTTCAGACTGTTTTCGATAAAATTTTTATTTTTGGGGTTTTATTTAAAATTCACCACTAACATGTAAAAAATGAAAAATGCCAGATTCTATGGATTTGAATACCGGTAACAAATTTTATTAAAATCGAATATCAAACGTGGTCCGTAGCTCTGTAAACATTCTGTCATACAGACAGACACACACACACACACATAAACATCACTTCAAAACCCACTTTCCTGCTGTCTATGGGGGGGGGGGGCAAAACTTATATATCCACCCAAAGCCTCAAACTCATTTTTTACGAAAATAAAACTTTCTTCATTATAGAGAGAAAGTAAAAACAACTGTTTGGGTTCGGTGGACTCAAAATTCAAACTAGAACATTTTGACGAAGACAATACTTTATCCATATACAATAAGGAGGTAAAGTAAATGTATTTAATTTAATCTATTAAAGAGCAAGTGTAGTCTACTATTTCTGTTCATGTTTGTACTTATTGCTTGCATGTACAATGAATTGCATTTTCCCAATAATTTTATAAAATGAAATAGTTACTTTAGATTTTAGAACATACCAGTTTTCCTCATAAATAGACCTACTGTATTTATGACGGTATCGGCAGTTGTTTATTGTGCTTGGCAAACATTTAAACATGGTAGATAACATGTTTCAAAGCATTCAAAGCAAGTATTTTATGGTTATTATTGATTTTTTCACTTGAGCGTAATTTTTAATGGACATTTAAAATTTTTACTTCTTGTGGTCTTTTTGTAGGCTATTGATATGGTTATACTCCATATCTGTTAGGTAGAGCATAAAGAAAATTATCTATCTTCCAGTTAAATGTGGGGGATGTTGTGTGTCTTGTGGGGGATATAAAACTATAGTGTTAACACAAAACGCATTATAATACAGCGATATCCATCATAATTCTCCTTCTTAACAAGAGGTATTTTTGCCATAAAAATATGCAATGTGTCCGTAAAGAAGATAACAAGATAAAATGTACCAAGCCGTGATTTATCTATAAAATCTAAGGGAGATGTTTTGTCTATGATAAAATGTTTTAACTTTGTAAAACAAGTATATCTATTAGGGTGCTTAAACAAGATTGGGTAACTTTGGCGATTGGATAAAAAATCTTTTATATAGGCCTAGTGGCTAGATCTCACAACTTTTTTTTTTTTAAATAGTGATCTTTTCCATTCAGTTTACGATTTTGATAAGTGAATTGAGTAGTGTTAACATTTGGGCATAAGCAAACTTCACTCCAAGTCTACATTTTTATTGGGATTTTGATTAACCCAAATAATTGGAAGAGAAATGGTCCACATTTCTCCAGACCTTTACTAGACTTAACACAGATTTGCCTCAAATTGTTCAAAGTAGTTCTTTGTTCATCTTATTACCTTGAAAATTCCTTTTTTATTTGATTTTCAATTAGAGCGTTTAATTTTTGAGAGCCAGCTTCTAGTGGGTGCTTTTAGTACTCATAACTTTTAACCATGGTCATGAAATAGGTATCCAACGTGAGTATAATATTAAAATTGACCTACTGTAATTGATCATTGATATTTTACTTGCCTTTCTTTACACAGCACTAGCTTTTGATAGGATTATTAGTGCTTATACTGAAACAATTTTTTTAATGCTTCATATTCATTTTTTACCAAGCACGTATGATCAAATTAAAGATTATTTTTTTTAACAAGTACGTATGTATGCACTAATAGAAGATTGGATATTTTATCTAAATACAAGATGTTTAAGCATCCAGTTAGATTTTTCTTGCAAATCACTTTTCATCCAGCCATATATTTTTCTCACTTTTAGTCACTCTCAAAAGCATAAATAATCAAGTTATTTTAATTTATTACAAATTTCTCAATACTAAATCAAAATAATATTTTGCTTTCCCAATCAATAGGCCTAAATTAATCTCTTGAAAATTTTTAAACTTATCCAGTAAATTAATTTGGTTTATCTGTAATTTCTAAATTTTAAACATAAGTTTAGACGAGTTAAAGGTTTAAGGTTATTAAAAAGACATGTTTCAAAACAACATTTCAGTTTAATAAAGCAGAGATAGAACTCAACAGTATAGATAAACGTATTTATAATATGTACAATAGTTACAAAATAATCTCGACAGTATTGAGAAAATATTTACCAAATAACAAGATCCATTTGACAGTTTCACCAATCACGACATATCATTATCATAATCGTTCTGTTCACTAGTCTATCACATCACACAAACAACCAACCAAACGATATCTTTGGGCGAGAGCAATGGAGTCTTCTCTGTTAGGAGCGAAACTTAGGTTCTATCAGGCTACTTTATATATTAAACAAATTTGAAAATAAATAAATTCTAGTCTATAAATTAAATTACTGAAATTTTGGCACCACTCTTTAAACATAACATAGCAATATGGCGGTGCAAACTTAAATAGAAGATTATTTTTATGAGTTTGGTCATAACGGAAAAGACTCAGTTTACTGTGCAAGGACGAAGTATCACAGAAGCTCGACGGGCACTTATGTTCAAGGGTGGACGGCAGCAGCTCCTAACCTCTGGCCGTAGAGGGCGTAGGGCGAGTAGTAGGGTCCTAGGGTGGGGTTGAACGCTGAGAAGGGAGAGGCACCGAGAGACCCTGGTAGTCCAGGCTTGGAGTACGGATGGTAACGAGCTGCAGACAGAGGACTGAGCGGAGGGTTGGGGTAGCGGAGAGGGTTCAGTAGTGAGGCAGTCTCAGCAGAGGCGGTGTGTGTTCTTAAATGCTGTAGAAGTTCATCCGATGTTGTAAACCGCTTTCCACAGTACGATTCTCCTGCGATCCAATTGCACACGTAAGGTCGACCCAATGACTGGTAAGAGAATGGGTGAGGAGGTGGAACTAAACCCGACAGAGCTGCCGCGGCTGCTAGATTGTATTTTTGGTGATCACACTGTGTACAACCACTAGGACAGGTACCCCCTCCCAACAGCGCACTGTGCATACTCAGTTGACAACCGGTGCAGTACGGGTCCTTACACACGGGCACCAGGGCTTCACCTCCCGCTGCGGTCTTGACTCGGGCGTAGCTGACGTAGGGTCCAGGGGCCGAGGGGAATCCAGCCAACATGGCAGCGTGGTGAGGGGAGAACGGTCCTCCGGCGAAGGGTGGACGGAAAGCCGGATTGGACGCTTCCAGTCCTGGAGGACAGCAACCTCCGAGTCCAGAGAAAGATGCCATAGAAGGTTTGAAGGTTCCCAGAGGCATGTCTTTAGGATGACCCTGAAGAATCTCCAGCCCGGACCTGATGATGGGGCTGGCTCCACTGTTGGCCGGGGACACTGACTTGGTCTCAGTCGCAGGGGCTGGGGAAGATTTATCGTGGGGACTGGATGACTTGCGACTCGGGGTTTTCCTCTTTTCTTCTGCAGACTCGTGTCCCTTGGAAGAGGGTCTGGGGGTCTCGGCCTTGCGGGTCAGAACATTGTTCTCATAGGGTTTGAAAGCTAGGCGGGGCTCCTGGGTCTTGAGGGGCTCTGGAGCTGCAGGTTTGCTGCCACTGGCGGGGCTGTGGCGCTCTGATGATGGCTTCTTGGGCTTGTCCAGAGCAGACAGCAGAGGTTTGGAAGGTGGGTTGTCGGCACCAATCTGACTGCATGTCTGGGCTAGCAGCGCCAGGGGGCTCTTCTTGGCATCCAACTGGAACAAATTAAAAACAAAATTAAACCCAAATTCATGATACACATATTCTTCTGAGAATCAACATTTGAATTCCAAAAAAATGAAAATAATATTTTGGGTTAGCTCTGTTTTTCATTTTTTCATGGGGAGGGGGAGGGGGGTATTTGAGATGTCTAGACATCCAAATGTAGTTCGGTGGAAAGTAAACAAAATATTTTTTTAATATAGGCTATTCAAACCTGAAATTCTAAAATGAAAAATTACAAAAAAATATTTTTGTGCTGGAAAAATCTACATTTTTGCCGTATTTTTAATACCTTATACTCTTTCAATGGAATTTTATAACTAAAAATATTTTATTTGGAAAATGTTCTAAGTGTATTACCGTATGCTACCTACATCATTATTAAAAAAGATTAAAGTCCATTAACATTTACTTTAAATTTTAAAGATTGTCCAATCATCAAAGTCTAGAATAACATTCCAAGAAAGAAAAGTTTTATCTAACAGTCAATTATCATCTTATCACCAAAACACAGATTTGATTCATATTAAGTGTGACAAATAGAATGACTACATAAAAAAGTAGTACTAGTTAGTAAATATTTTTGAAACGCGTAAAAAAGTGTTTAAAAATATGTTAGTACAAATAATAAATGTATTTTTTGGGGCTTAACAATTAAAATAGTATTAACAAATACCAAAATATTCCCTACTGTATTTCAACTATTTTTAAATACGATCAAAAAGTTTTAACTAAAAAATATTGACAGTTAAAAATGTTATTTTAAATACAAATGTGTGTGAGTAACAATGTAGAGTTGTGAATAATTTTGAATTTTATTAAGACTTAACTTATAATGATTTTTATTTAAACCTATATTTTGCAATATAAATCATCGCAGTATTCTTATTACGTAGGTTCAGTTTCTGTTAACAGTTTCCCAGTTAACAATACTGTATGTCGACGGACGGTGCTTGCCAAGGTAGGCGCGGCGCGGCACACGGTTGGCCCAAGATACCAGGCTCCGCCGGGCCAACTTTTCCGACGACCGCCGCTAAACTCTGCGCGCACTTGGCATTGCGAAACAAACAATTTTATTCTATATTAGTTTTAAGTATTTAATCAGAAAAATCTTCTATTCTTGAAAATTATTTTTAATATTATAATTATTAAAATTTTTAGCTAACACTTAAAAGCTTAAATATATTAGTTTTATTAAAAACGTCTTCTTTACATTCAACTAAATATGTTCACTAAAAAAATTATAATTTAATTTGTTTTTATAAACACAGTCATAATTCCAAAATTAGCAACCCTGGTTCAAGACTTGAAACACCCGTTTTTAGTGTATTTAAATAAAATTCTATAACTTGTTTTTTTGGAGGCTACTAAAAAAAGTTTTTTTTAAACTTTTAGGTGAGTACAATAAAAAATCATAATAATTATTTTCCATAAACTTTCCATTTTTCAATACGAACAACAAAATATGTGTACTATGTAGCTTATGGTGCAAAATAATTTGGCAAGTTAAAAAACTTGAAATTGGGATTAAATAAATCTATATTTAAAATCCATGCAAAGTATGAGCGGTTTAAATTTAACTACACTCACTTACCATATATTACTAGAGTGTTTGTAGGCCTAATACTATACAATTTGGATTATTGTTAGTAATAATCTATAAGTTATTTAAGTATAAATTAATTTTAGAGTTAGTTAAATATCACGAGGGACCTTTTAATGTAATTTTGAATGTCAAACTATTTAATCAGATAATTTTTGGTATATTAAACACTGTAAATAACCAAGCAGCGGGTTGTTACTTTTATAAGTTACGTGTCACTCATGGTACTTGGTTAAGTTTTAGAATTATTAAAAAAATGTACAGAAAAATTTCAATATTGCACTTTATCCTTTTAAATTTTTGTGATTTTGAATAAGGGTGATGAGATTATTATAATATAAGTTAGCAAAAATAGTTACCGTAGTCGGTAGCGGAGACAGGTAGTCGGGCTGTAGGTACTGGTTACTGCCCGAACTCATGATTCCACTTTCCAGCACAACCATTGGGAAGCGAACAGACAGTCACAAATAAAACACTACACTTAAACAAAACTACACTAAACAACGAAGATAATTAACCACTGTATCCAGTATGCTCGAGAGTGCTGCAGAACCGAACGTGTCGACGGCTAGCTACGTTCTGAGCTGCGGAGCCGCGGAGCGATGGAGGGGGAGTGGGGAGGTAAGGGAGGTTTCCCCCACCACCGCTACTTCCCCGCCGTACCACCCAAGGCGCTAGTGATGTTGACAGCTTTGAGTCGCCGACATCCCCCTCCTCCTCCTTAATCAGTAGCCCATGGCCGGTGATGGATAGCAGCTGGTTTTCACCCCCCCCCCCCCCCCTCCCCCCAGCGAGAGAGGCTCGGCTCGCTCTCTCAGCGAGAGTCACCACGACAGCTCGTCTGGACTGGATGCTGAACAGGGCTTTCGATTAATTGTGACATCCTCGGCTGCTAAAGGCAGACACGCCATTAGACCACTTATACCGAGGATTGCCTCCTGCCACCTGATCAATTAGGAGTCAAGGGTGTCTGTGTGAGTTGTGGTAATGTGTCCGTGACGAACTCTCGAGTTGAGGTAAAGGAAATTGAGGACACATGCATTTTGCCTGGTGTTTAGAGGCACTACCATGTTGATAAGGGTGTAGTTTTGGGGGTAAGACGATTTAAATGTCAACGTAGCCACAGCACTGTCTAAATAAAACCGTAACTCTGAACTTACAAATTGAAATAATAAATGTCGTAGTAAAAATTTTAAAGCATCCAAACAAGAACTTAATAGTTTTATTATCATGTTTATTACTCAGTTTTATTAAATAAAGATTAATAAAGGGGGTTTTATAATACTAATCACAGAGCCAGAACAGAAGCTTCATAAAACACATTTTACAGAAGAAAAAACCTAAATTATAGTATTATAAAATTACCACCTACTGTAATAAAGAATGGCATTCTTTGTGAATATAGAGAGTTTCAAACAATCTCTAAAATAGGTCAAATCTTGTTCATTACACTGTTCAATTTCAAAAATTAAACTTAAATAATAAATAGCACTAAAATTAACAATTTTCATTACAAACCAGTTCAAATATATTTCACTGTTAAATTAAATTATGAAAGATGAATCTTTGTTCATCTATATAATTAATACGCTACACGAAACTTTGTCGGTTGAACCCCTCCGCCATTTCTTAACCGATTTTATCCATTGACGTCTCATTGGAAAGAGCGTGGCGCGTAGATTTACATTTTTGAAAAAGTCCCTTGGGCTCTGTCCCAGTGGCTTAGAAAGTTCCCATGTTATCCTTATGGAGAACTTAGTTGTTTACATTTTGATCAGCTGTATAATTTAATTGATGTTATTTATTTGTCAATTCAAAGTCTTTTAAACGCATAGGAAATTATGATGACTTTTATTTGTTTTTAAATAACTACTTTACTTCTTTGCAATTGCTCGATTTCGAGCAACTTGTTTTCTAGTGTTTATTAAAACAAAACTTACATACAAAAGATTAAATTATTTGTTAAGGGCAGGTCCATTAAAAGAATGTAATTTACATAGATTGGTTCAATCATATTTTTAACGGTACTATTCTATATGAAGGATGTATAAACTCTCATATTAAAACAAAACTTACGTACTGAAGACGTCCGTATTATATTAAAAAATATTTAACTGTACTTACTGGCAATCTTCTAGCCAAATCTAACAACCGAACATAACAGGTTCTTACTTGTTAATCTTATCCATTGTAAAATGTTAATAAGCATTGTTTGTTTTATCCTTTCATTATTGTTGCATGTGTATAACAAGGGATTTTACACAGCAAAAACCTAAACTCCTAACCTGAACTCAAAATGTAGAATTAATGCAAAGTTCTACTCAGAGAAGTATTCTTGTTCAAACAAAAACGAGTGCAATAAATTATAAGTGTTTTACAAGAGGTATTTACAACTGACAGGATTATGGTTGTTGCAAAAGTAAACTAAATAAATCTTCATAATCCTTCTTTCAACGCATTGTACTTCCCGTACGCTCCTCACTTTATATTTAGCAGTATTTCTCATTTACCTGTAGTTGTTATGTTATACTTACTTCTTGGGTCTATCTAACTGTTGTATGAGGATGGATAAAATAATGAAGAATATTGTAATTATGTTATTTGCAAATGACAATAAGTAATTTCACTTCAAAAAGAAGTATTTTGTGAAATAAAATTGATACACAATTAAGTACTGAAATCACAATCAGAGTAATCAGAGCTCGTTAGAGTCATGTGTGGCCACATATTAAAGTACCAAAGACCATAGATTACTCCATTAATCAAAGGTGTGTCTTCCTCTTTTGCTTTTAAGAATTCGAGTTAGGAGTGTTGATGAAATTTGAAACGAAATTGAACTGCCAATTTTATTTCCTATAAGTCTGGAACTATTAACTGCATTATCAATATTAACAAAACTGAGTCGTCTGTAGATGTAAAAATGTTCTGTTAACTACTTTTTCTACAAATACAATTACAATTCATATAATTTAATAGTTGGATAACAATTAAATAGTAAACTACAAAAACAATGTGATGTGATGTTTAAACTGGCGTGAACAACGTTTTACTGAAACATTCAACATTTTAGTTAAGACAACAGAACAATTCTAAAGTTGAGAGTTAAGTAAATGAAACAAACTTTTATCCAGCAGATTCATTTTTGGATAAAATTGGTAACTGTAAAAATAATATTTTGGTAGGTGTATGTTTTAGCTACGTCAAGATTGTATGTTAGTTTTATAGGTTTTATGTTTTAACTTTCGATGTTCACATTTTTCATATGACTAAAGACCGATGATCAAATTGGTTTTGGAAGACTTGAAATACAGTATATTAGTAGCTTTAACATATACTTAGCCTACCTGCCTATACAATTGTACACACACAGTAGTGCAGATAATCTTACCAACAGTAATTCTAACACTTGATCGAGGTGAGTTGGTGAACATCCTATAGAAAATACTTACACAAGAAGTAGCCAACTATTCACTAGACTAAAGCCATGTCAGCTGTATAATGATAACCCCGGCACATGTCTGACAGTTCCACTAAATAAGCCAGCCTTTCACAAGATGCATAAACACAGATGTCGGCGAGGTAATAGTTTATAACTGAATTTCAAAGAACCCCTTATAAAGCGGCCATTATGGTGGCAAGAAAACGTTATTTATGTGGCTACCGTAACAATAGGTAGCGCCGCCGTATTCACAGTGTGCGCTGGGCCATTCGTCCAAAAAACACAATGTTTGAAGAAATTTGATCGGATAGACTTGAAAGGGGCCGGACCGCTGGTATAATTTGGAGGGCCCCTGCCGGTCAAAGTGCCGCGGCCGCCCGGTTCGTATAAATAAAACATTATCCGGCTGATATAAAATTATGTGACAGCCCAGCAAGCCCCTTCGTCGCTAAAAACTGCCCTCCGACTTGTTTGGACTTCTGTCCGCCGCTCCTTGTCTAAAGCCGTTCTGGGAACCAAGAGGCATTTAATGCCGCTAAATGATTTAAAGGCTTTGACTCGATGATTTAGAGGTCCGGACCGCTTGTATAGTTTAAACCCCGTCTTTGTAGTTGAAAGAGACGTAATCTCTGATCTGTGATGGGTGGACGGCTTACTTAGCTTCCAGTTGTACAGTTGAATCAAACAAATGTTGAAGGTAAGATAACTTGATATAGACAAATATTTGGCATCTTAGTGTAGATCTGCGGTTAGGTGACTTACTTAGCTTCCAGTTGTACAGTTGAATCAAACAAATGTTGAGGGTAAGATAACTTTATGCAGACGAATATTTGGCAAGTGAAGATCTGCGGTTAGATGGCTTACTTAGCTTCCAGTTGTACAGTTGAATCAAACCAATGTTGAGGGTAGGCCTAAGATAACTTGATGCATACGAATATTTGTCAAGTGTAGATCTACGGTTAGATGGCTTACTTAGCTTCCAGTTGTACAGTTGAATCAAACCAATGTTGAGGGTAAGATAACTTTATGCAGACGAATATTTGGCAAGTGTAGATCTGCGGTTAGATGGCTTACTTAGCTTCCAGTTGTACAGTTGAATCAAACAAATGTTGAGGATAAGATAACTTTATGCAGACGAATATTTGGCAAGTGTAGATCTGCGGTTGGATGGCTTACTTAGCTTCCAGTTGTACAGTTGAATCAAACAAATGTTGAGGGTAAGATAACTTTATGCAGACGAATATTTGGCAAGTGAAGATCTGCGGTTAGATGGCTTACTTAGCTTCCAGTTGTACAGTTGAATCAAATCAATGTTGAGGGTGAAAACTTGATGCAGACGAATATTTGGCATCTTAGTGAAGATCTGCGGATAGATGGCTTACTTAGCTTCCAGTTGTACAGTTGAATCAAACAAATGTTGAGGGTAAGATAACTTTATGCAGACGAATATTTGGCAAGTGTAGATCTGCGGTTAGATGGCTTACTTAGCTTCCAGTTGTACAGTTGAATCAAACAAATGTTGAGGGTAAGATAACTTTATGCAGACGAATATTTGGCAAGTGTAGATCTGCGGTTAGATGGCTTACTTAGCTTCCAGTTGTACAGTTGAATCAAACAAATGTTGAGGGTAAGATAACTTTATGCAGACGAATATTTGGCAAGTGAAGATCTGCGGTTAGATGGCTTACTTCGCTTCCAATTGTACAGTTGAATCAAACCAATGTTGAGGGTAAGATAACTTGATGCAGACGAATATTTGACATCTTACTTAGCTTCCAGTACTCAAAAGCGACGGAAACGAACCTGCAACTTTAAGTTTGTATGATCTGCAAAGATTAAAGTGTTAATCATCACCATTTAAATAAATGGTCTACCAAAAAATATCTAGCCTTTTCTTTATGTGGTCAACGTTAGTCCAAGACTGACTAGTTTCGGAGACTTGTATCATCTACCATCTACGAAATATGATTGGCAAGAACCTCCTCACTGTTACTCATAGTATGACGCGAAGCTTGTTTCAATGATTTACACACGGCGTATAAATTACCAGACCACACCATTATAACTAAGTGTTGTGTCCGAGGCTAGCTGTTTAATAGGGGCAATTCTAGGCGTCGATATACATATTAAAACCGCTTGTTTCC